GCAGCAGGACCCCCTCATCCCCTCCCTGTGTCCCAGCCCTGCTCAGCCACAAGTAAAAGCATTTTTCACCATCCTTTCCTCCATCCTCCCCAGGCCTCGGGGCTGGCTGCACTCAGCATTATCTGCTTTCCTCCCCAGCTCCAGGGAATGTGTGAGCTGGATGGGCTGAGTAAAAATGACCTCATGCACGGAAGAATCAGAAAATGAGCAATGAGAGGGACACAACAATGCTTCCCCAATGAGCTGGAGGCACCCAGGGGACTTCATCACTGCTGCATTTCCTGCCCTGGCACCAGCCCAGCCGAGCTGAGTTTGTGTCCTTGACAGAAACCTCTGAGTCTGGTTTTATTTTTACCTCAGAAGCCTTTTACTTTCTCTGTATTTGCTCCCTTGGATTGTTTAGGGGTGATATCATTAATGCCACCTGCAGAGGTTGGTGGTACAGTTCCTGCCAGCCTCAATCCAAGGATGCTTTGGAAGGGCATCTGTGGCACCCTGGGCAGGACAATGAGCTGGGTACCCCCTCAGCCCCCCAGCCCAGCCCCGGGGTCACCACCAGGAAGGACAAGAGCCCCCAGACACACTCTGCACCCTCTCACCCTTATCACACCCAGAGGATGCCAAAGTCCCCAAACAAACCCAGACCAAGCCTGACCTCCATCCCCACGGTGCAGACAGCTGGGTGCTCCCATGGTGGGTGTCCAGACAGCTCCTGGGCGTCTCAGCCATCCAAATTAGAGCTCAGGGTGCTCCTGATAAGCCTCAGAAGCCCTGAGCAGGACGAAGGGACTGTCACAGCAGCTCAGCTGTTTACTCCAGGCAGGGAATTCTTGTGTCAGTGGTTTCAGTATCAAACTGCTGAGCTGTGTTTAGTCTGTGGCTGGAAAGCAGCCTTGCTTCTATTCTGAGAATATTTGTCTAATCAGGGGTCGAAGGAATGATTTTGCTCAGTAGAAAGTTATGTTTATTTGGGTTAGTTTGTCCTCTAGGATGGGTGCCTTGGAAAAGCCCCATGAAGGCTGGGCAGTGCTGGAGTGTCCTGGGGCACAGGACACACCTGCAGAAAAGGCAAACTTCTATTTCTGTAGAAATACGGGAAAAGCTTTACACTCCTGGCTTCCAGCCAGCTCTGGAATGAGGCTCCTGGTAGCCCAAGTGCTGCAGGTGCTCACCTGGGATGACCACACTCTTCATTCCAGAGGTGCTCAGCAGCTTGAGCTGCATTTTCAGCTGCCACGTTCAGAGCTTCCTTTGCTTTTGTAAATCACAGGTGACCCCAGCAGCCATCCCTGGCTGCCAGCCACACCAGGCAGCTGATGAAATACTGAGCTGAGGGACACCTGAAGGGTCGAGGCCAAATCCTGGGACAGGTGAGACATTTTTCCACCTCTCCAAGTACATTTTGTTCATCCCAACCTCCTCATCCCTGAGAGTGTGAGGGAACCATCATATTCAACCCAGGACCTTAGGACATTTTACCTTTTTCAAACCCAGAATCACATCAGTTTTTGAACCTCTCAGCTCTTTCTGGTGCTAACTCCCATTTTCCCACGTAAATCCCTTCCCTGGGGAGCTTTGCCTTCAGCTGGGTGAGCTTTGTCCCATGGATGAACCAGGAGCACCTCGTGGACTTTGCCCTGTTTGCACACAACAAACACGGTTGAGTTGTGACTATTTGCAACTCAGCAACCACTAATTTTTAGCCCAGAGATAAATCCTCATTATCTGCTGAGATAAGGTCCTCTCTATTTTGGAAGGCACCAGTTTCCACATTGGGAAATTCCCTTTGGTTAGACCAGCAATGTCCACAGGCAGCTCTTCCCCACATCCCTGATCCTCTGTCACCCTTCATGGGTGGCTTCAGTGCAGGTAATGTCCCCTCTGTCCCCCAGGGCCATCCCCAGCCAGGTGAGCCCCCATCATCCCAGCACTGCTGCCATGGAAATTCCTCCAGCAGTGCCACTTGGGTTGAGGCTGTGGTTCAAAGTAGGAATTAGGAATATACCTAATTCCCATTCCCATCACACAGGCTTGTGGCACTGGCATCCATAAGTCAGGAATTTCTTCTCTTGGCATGACTGGATTTCGTCCTGGATATGTGATTTCGTGCTAAAGAAGGACATTTCTCTTCCCCTTCTGTGCTGTAAGCTCAGGGTCCCTGTAAGAGCTCCCTGTGTCCCCTCAGGGCAGTGGGGCTGATCTCCATCCCAACCAATGTCCCCAAAGAACAAACCCCATGGTTTGTCCATGAGCTGCCTTCCCTCCTCCAGTTCCCAGCAGATGCTCCAAGCTCCTCACACCTTTTGCTCTGCAGCACAAAGTCTTGGAGGAGCTGCCACAGCCCCTCTCCCACGGCACAGAGAGGACAAAGCCGTGGCTTCAGTGTCACCACGGAGCCCACAAGGAGACCTGAGTTCATTTTGAGACCTGTCCTGTGCAGGGGGCACTGGCCATCCCAGGAAAACATGGAAAAAGTACGTGGCACTTCCAGCTTCCCCCCAGGCCTGTCTCTCCAGGGAATCAAGTGTCTCCAAGCATGTGGGGATGGTGTTTGCCAAGTGACTCAGGCCAGCCTGGAACCCAGCAATAAATTCTCTTACAGCAATAACTGCCACTCACCCAGAGCTATTGCCATCTTTCCAGGGAGTCACCCCAGGTCCCCATTTCTTCACCCCCACGGTGCCTTTGTCCCTGCAGGGATCAAAGCCAAACACCAGATTCCCACCCTACACATCCCAGGGCAGCTCCAGCCCTCCCTGCCTGCCTGGCTCACTGGGCTGGGATAATTCCTGGAGGGAAGGCAGGTTGTAGGCTCAAAACCCAGCATGGTTATGGGGTTGGGATGCTCCTGGGCATCACCAGCACCAGGGATGCACCAGGGCTGCTGGGGCTGTGCTCAGGGCAGAGACAAGGTGACAGCAGGGACTGAGCTGCCCAGTGCACACAGAGCCCTGAGCCCAGACCCTCTGGGGGTGTCCCAGTGAGCCTGGAGACATGGAAAAATGGGCATGGGGACAGGCAATGAAGGGATCCTGCTCTAAGTTTCCTACCACTGGTTTGGGATGGAGTGAGGAGCTCAGGAGAGCGCAGATGGAGAGCAGGGGGAGGTGCAAGAAAATCTGTGTTGAGTCCAGACACAAAGGGAAATCCCAGCTGGGAAGGAGAGGAGATGAAAGCTCTGGCCAAGGCCAGGAGAAAGAGAAGGGTCTGGCTTGGAGGAGACAGCTGGGAGGGTGCACCCACCCACGGGTCCCAGCAGCTCCAGGGTCAGTGACTGGGCCACCACTGGGACACCATCCATGGACCTTGACCCTGGGGTGCCAACAGCATCTCCAGGAGAGCCACCAGGAGAGCCACATCACCAACCCTGCTGTCTCCAGCCAAGCCCTGGGCAGAGCCCTCAGCTCTGCCTCAGTGTCCCCACCTGGCATCACCTCTGGTTGTTTGAAGAGGGAAAACAGGCAGCTCCCCAGAGGAGATGGCACCTGCTGGGTATCAGCTCGCTCTGCTCAGGTGGGGCAGCCACACATCCCTGGGCATCAGCAGCACTCTGGGCAGCCACACCACACCCCTGTGACACCACAGTCACATCCCTGAGCCATCCAAGGCTGATCACAACCAGGTGACACTTCAGGTACCAAACACACCCTGAACAGCCTTTACAAAATATTTGCATCCCACACCACAGCACTGCCCTTGCTGGGGAGGAGCAGCCCTGCCAAGCTGTGCATGGACCTGGAATAGCTTTTTGTTGCTGCTTTTGGTGTGTCCCCAGAGGGACTCAGAGCTGCAGGAGGTCACTGGTGTGTTTGGGCATTTTCATGGTCAGAGAAACCATTTCCCTGGTTCATGCCCTGCTGTGTTTAACAGTGACCGCTGTCCTTGGCAACAGTCTCACTTTGGGCAAAACTCTGCTCCTACACCCAGACCTGGCCTCAGGAACATCTGGCAGCTGCTCCACCGTAAAAAACAGCTCAGAAATTCATGGAACCACATTTTCCCTTCTTTAGCCGCACAGTAATAGGATTTTACACTCCTCAGCAAGGCAAGGGCCGTGGCTCCACCAGTGCTGACAAACACGGCACGAACAAAACCCAGCTACAAGAAATGATATTCTCCTTTTATTTACCAATGACCATGACAATGTAGGTTTTTTTTCTAGCTGCAGAGATGCTTTGCACTGTAAACTGGGAGGCAGGCAGTGCATCCTGCCCTGCCAGGGCCAGCAGGAACCCCCGCTTCCCAAACACAGCATTGTTATCCAGAGTCAGGAGAGCGGCTGCTGCACAGAGTTTGCTTTTCTCCATCACCAACCCCTCCGTCGTCAGGGCATTGATACATTGATATTTACACCAGGCTCCCCCAGCGGCCTGCTGCCAGGGAACGGGTCTGGCACACCAAACCTGCTACCTTACCAAATCTACACACTTGGAAAAAGAAAAAGGCATCCACTCCGCCGGAGAACTCGGCCGCGACACACACAAATATTGCACTTGTAACTTGGGAATGGGAGGACACAGGGGTTCCTATCACACAGCAACGTGTCCAGCTACAGGAGGGCAATAAATAAACCGGGGGGGAGGGCAGGAGGGGGTGCTTTGCACACCTCCAGCACAGGGCAAGGACCCGGCTCTCGCTGCTCCCGGGGGACCCACTACGAGCCAAGGAAGTGTCGGGCTCCTGCCAGAGCTGCTCCGGGAGGCCCCACGGCACAGGGAAGCACAGCAGCATCCTGGGGCTGCTCCAGTTCACAAGGCTTTAATCCAGGATAACGTTTGTGTCGGTGCTGCTGTCCCCTTGCCAGCGCCCTGCACGAGAACCCCTCCTCCTCGCCGAGCTGGGCTCACTCTGCGCCTTCCAGCAACGCCCGTGGCTGGGGCAGGTGCTTCACAGTAGTCTTGTGGGAGCTTCCCTCCTGGCTAAATCCATGTTGGGGCCACCCCAAAGGCATCGTACCAGCGATGGTGGGACGGGAGCTGCAGCAGTACCAGACTGCCCCGAGCTCAGCGCCTTCAGCTGCCCCATGTCCGTACGGCCTGGGGGCACGAGCAGGGCTGCGAGCTCCCACCAGCTCCCAGGAAGGCCTCCACTGCCCAATTCCATGTAAACACACAGCTCCCAGCCTGCCCCGAGACAGTCCTTGGGCCTACAGTGGGGAGCTGCCTTTCTTCTGGTTGATTATGTCCAAGTACAGGTCGGAGCGGAGGAAGCGGGGGTACGAGTCCTTCTCCATGAGCCCATAGATCCTCTTCTGTGCCAGGTCGAAGCAGCTGCGGGTGATGTTCTGCAGGTTCTCCTTGGTGTGCTCCCGTGTGTAGGAGTCCAGGTTCACCTGTGGGCAGAGGAACCAGGGCTGGTGAGCAGCTCCCCAGGCAGCCACAGTGCCAGGAGCTGCATGCCAGCGTGGGAGCCAGCCCTCACCTCCTTGCAGGACTGGATGGCAATGTACTCAGCGAAGATCTTCTTGGCCTTGGAGACCATCTTGGACTGGGATTTAATCTTCTTGAACTCCTCACAGGCCAGCCAGAACTCCAGGTTCTCCTCGCTGAACTCGGTGCGCAGGAAGGCCCTGAAGGCAGCGAGCCCATCTGTGGGGGACAGGGACACAGCTCTGCTCCTGCTCACAGACAGGGAACAGCCCCCCGAGACCCTCAGCTCCAGCAGAGCCCAAAACACCTCCCTGCACTGCCCGAAAAACCCCTGTGTGCAAACAGGCAGCGATGGCACTGCCAGGCCAGCACAGCAACACAGCCCATCCAGGAGCTGAATCCACACCCCCAGCCTGGCAGCACCACCCAGAGCCAGAAGGGAGGCTGGGCTGGCGTGGGGACAGGATCCCATGGTCATCCCCCTGGGCTGGGTGTAGGATGGGATGCCTGAGAAGGGCTGTCCTCCCATCTTTGTGGTGTTCTAAAGCAGCTCCAGCTCCATGGACCCTCTGCACAGCCCCAAACTGGGCACAGACATGGATCACAGCCTCCTCCTCCCCAAGCCGGGTGCTGCAGCCCCGACCTGAAGCTCTCCCCAGCCCCTGTCACCAAGATCCCCCCGGGGCCAGGCAGGAGCAGGAGGGGTGCAGACAAGGGAGAGGCTAATTTCGCTTTGTGCATCCCCAAACACTGGAAGGGATTAACAGAGGAAATCCCAGCTCTATCCAGGCACGTGTCTGGATATTCCCCTGGCAGCAAATACGAATGGAAGAGATGGACACACACTTACATTTGTGCAGCAGCAGCTTCTCCAGGGAGTCCCCCCACTTGAGGGCTTCCTCGGGAGGGGGCCTGTGGAAAAAGGACGGCACGTTGGCAAAGCTCAGCAGCAAAAGCTGCTTTTGCTGCCTGCTAAACATTTCCAGCGGATTAAAAGCCAGGCTGTGAGCCCAGCACGGCTGCTCCCAGCTCCCAAATCTGCCTCCTGCTAAACGTTTCCAGAGGATAAAGCCACGCTGTGTGCCCAAAGGGCTGGCCCTGGCTCCCACCTTGGTACTGGCACTGGCACAGCAGCTGAAGGCAGAGCCAGGCTCTGCACCAGGCAGCACCACAGCAGCTCTGCCAAAAGGAAACCGCTGCCTTTAGGCTGGCAGGAAGAAAATCCAACCCCAGGAGGTCTGTGCAGGCAGCTGTGGCACTTGGGGTGTCTGAAGAAGAACTGGAGAAACTCCGGGTGATGTGGAGCTGCAGAGAAGTGGGATTTCAACTGCCCCATTCAAGCAGCCAGAGAAGCTGCCAGGCGCAAGAGCAGGGAGGGCTTGTTCTCCAGCTGCTAAAGCATCTCCAGAGAAAAGTGGCTTTTCAAACCACCAGCTTTTCAAACATCCTCTAGCCAGTTAAAGTTCCATAGACAGGCACTGCGAGAACGCTGCTGTCAGGTAAATTTCCAGCCCAAGCTGCCGCGGTGCCGCCGTGCAGGCAGGATCTCTCACCCTCCAGCAGGAGATTTTCAGCCAAAAAATACTTTAAATGCTCCTCCAGATACAAAAACGTTGTCCACAGCCTCCCGAGACGGGGTGAACACAGCCTCCCTGGAGGTGAGGAGTTCCAGACCACAGCTTGTCCCCATGCCCCCACGGCCCCTATCCCCACGGTCCCTATCCCCACGGTCCCTATCCTCACTGTCCCCTATCCCCATTGTCCCCTATCCTCACTGTCCCCTATCCCCACGGTCCCTATCCTCACTGTCCCTATCCCCCACGGTCGCCATCCCCACGCCACCCGCTGGCAGCACCTACTTGAGGGATTTGAGCACTTTGTCCAGCTTGCCGGAGGGGTTTGCTCCGGGGGACTCGTTCCGCCGCCGAAAAATCCCCAGCCGGTTCTTCATGTCCTTGGCTCTGGAGAGAAGAGCGAGTGTGAGCGGGTGGGCGAGGGGACCCCCGGCCCCGCGGGGACCCTCCGGCAGCGCATCCCGCCCGTGCCCCGCGCCCATCACCTACTCCTTCATGGTGTGCCGGCGCTGCAGGCTGCCCGAGTGCGGCCTCTGCACCGCCAGCAGCATCTCCGCGTGGAATTCCAGCGGCTGCGGCTTGGACAGGTCGCGGAAGAAAGGCATAGCTGCGGGGACAGCCCGAGGTGCGGGGACAGCGGGGACAGCCCGTGCCGCGGGGACAGCGGGGACGCTCGGGCGCTCTGCCGCCCGCCCCGAGCCGCGCTCCTGCCCGCAGTGGCCAGCGCGGAACGGGAAGTGGGAGGGCTCAGCGCCGAGAGCTTTAAATGCGGCGTGGGGCGGCCGGGAGCGTGCGAGTGAGTAAAGGCTGTGTCAGCCCCGCCGCTGTTTGGGACGGCTCTGCCGTTGCTGGGGAAACTTGAGGAAAGGTGGAAAAATCAGCGCCGAGGCGGATAGTGGGGCCTTTCAAGAGACGGCGGGGAAAAATAATCACGGCGAGGATTTACGAGGGCTATTTATAGAGTGCAGGCATCCCGGGAAGGCAGCGGGGCCGGCGGCGGGGCGGAGCGGGATGAGCAGAGCGGGCACAGCGCTGCCCTGTGTCCCCCCTGCCTGGGCACCCACACACGCACACCCCACGCGTGTTCACACGTCTGCGGTGCCAGCCCGTGTGGGGCATGGCCGTGGGGACATTTCCATAAGGGGTGGCCGGGATTGGCAGCGCAGGGCACTGGGGCAAAGACACCTCACGCTGTCACCCGCGCACGGGTCCCCGCGCTTCAGAATCCCTGGACAGACAGACTGACGGACACGCGGGCATGGGGCTCGCGGCTGCCCCAGGGAGCCACCAGGAACACAAAGTTTTACAGATTTTTGGGAAGCGCCGTGGGAAAAGGAGCCCCCCTCCCCCCCCCCCCCGGCACGGGCAGGGATCGGGGATGGGATGGGGCGGGCGGTGCTGCCCCCGCGCGGCGCTGCGCGGTCACTGCACCCCGACAGGGACACGGGGATGGAGCGGCCGGGGGGACGGCACCAAAAACCTTCCAAAACACAAAAACAGTGCAGCAGTGACAATTTACACCGCTTGGGCCTTGCTTCTCACTCCCTTTTCTGGCAGTATTCTCCCATTTACAGTGATCTGTCGCTCATTAAAAAGCAAGTATAATGCTATCTTAATTACATGCAGCTGGAACCCGCATAACTGGAAAGAATTACCACTTCCAGATGTGTTTTTAATTTCTGACATTCAAAATACCACTCTTCGATCTCATCATAAAGTGCACACAGACAGTGTTTCACTGCCTGTGGATATAATGTATTTATCAAAACTTAAGAGCATCAGTCTTTTCTCAACATACATGGACTCTGCCCTCTAAATCTGAAGCTCCTTATCTGACAACATCTCATCAGGCAAGCGGCTTCAGTTTTCACTTCTTGCTCTTTCTGATTCTGTAAATTCAGTGTTACAAGACCTCTCACAGGTAGCATAGCAAGGATGCTCAGAGAAGCCACCTCTACCTGGTCAAGCCATGCCCAGGGACATGAGGGGGACAAGAGGGATTCAGGGCACAGATGCACCACCCCAACCCAGGTGATGTTCTTCAGACCCACCACTCTCCCTAGTCGCAGGAGGGTAAAACACAGAAATATTGGGAAAAATAAAAGATGTGCAACAACCCCATGGCTCAGTCCAATGAGCCACAGGATGATTGTAGAGGGCAATTGCTCCCCCTAGTCCCTGGTGCCATCCATACCCTCACAGACTCGGACAGTTTCACTGCCTCACACCCCCTGGGCTGTGATCCCAGCAGGGCACACGTCCCGCTGCTGCCAGGCACCCGCTAATGTGGGAAGAGCAGATCCAAACACGGAGCCTCACGCTCCAAACAAGGAGCCTCACGCTCCAAACACCATCTGCCTCCCATCACCGCGCTGCCAATGCCGTCGGCAGCTGGGGACTCGCCAGCACACAGGACCAGCCATCCCACACAGCCTCGAGCAACAATTTCAGCAGTGTTCCCAGTTCAGCAGGGCAGCGCCCGGCGGGGCTGGCAGAGCACTGAGCACCCCTTGCGTGACACACATGGGTCACCTGCACAGCACAGCCCTCGGCACAAGACCAGCTGGCCCACACGAGGCAGGTGATCCTGGCTCCTGGGTGCATTTTCCAGCTGGAACACACCAGGCAAACACCTCCTAAGGAAGTTCCCCAACTTCCACGTGCTGCTCCTCTTGCACACCCTTGCAAAGAAGGAGTGGCACCAACCCAGGCTGCGACAGCCACGGGCAGGCACAGCCCCCAGCTGCACAATAAATAATAAAAAAAAAATAATTCCATTTAAAAATTGCTGGTTTCTCTCCGGAGCTGCCTCTATAAAGTGATCTGTCCCGGAACCCCGGCATGACCACGAGGCCCAGCACCATCACTCCGTCCTGCTTCTAAACCATCTCCTGGGCAGCACATCCCCCCTCGTCGCAGGATGCCGGGTGTCCTACCTTTCCAGGTATTTCTCGGAGAAGTCCACCATGGCGTGGCACATCGGGGCCGGCAGCGTGTGCCGGGAGAGGAGCGAGTGCCGACCCGCGGCCCGCGCACCATAAATAGTCCCGGAGCCGGCCGGGACAGCCAATGGCGCTGCCAAGCGCTCCCCGGAGCATCCCCTGCCGGCTCAAGGTGAGCGCAGAGCCCGCTCCGCAACCGCCCCTGACCCCGCCGCGCCGGGGGGGCCGAGCCTCCCCCGCCAGCCCCGCTCCCCCGGCGCTGCCACGCGGCCGAGGGGACGTCCCTGCCGCAAGGGCTTCGTTTTCATTTCGAGCGCTGGTGGGGGGAGAGAATAAAAAGAGCTAAAAATAGGCGGCAGCGATGAGGCAGCGCGGGCCGACAGTGCCGCTCGCTGGCACAGGCGGCGAGGCCGGGCAGCTGCGTGCGCAGCCCCCTCGCACCCTGAGCCGCTCGAACCACGTGTGGCTCCTCCACCTGCCCGGCACACGTGGCGCAGGGCACGGGGCACACAGCCACGGGCACCCCCGCGGCCCTGGCACCCGGCGGGATCCGCGTTCTGGAGGAGTTCGTTCCCGAACATCCTCACTCGTGCGCCTGCCCCCCTCCTCAGCTGCAGCTGTGCTTGAGGACAGCAAAGGCCACGGCTGCCTCGTCCTTGTTTGCACCCACTTTTTGGCACCCCGAAGCCTTACCGGGAGCAGCAGAGTGGCTGCCGGTGTCCCTCGAGGGTCCCCGCGGTCCCTGCTCCCACCACACTGCCACAGATGTGCGGAGAGGGCTGAGCCTGCCCCGCGGTGGGAAACCTCCCCATTCCACCTCCCCATTCCTCCTCCCGGCATGGGGCCAGCGGGAAAGAGGCCCCCAGCTCAGATTTCACTACTTCCATGTCCTCTCCCTGAACCCGGGCAAGCTGCTTTTCCCAAGAGCCGGTGTCTTCACCCTGTCCGGGCACGGTGGGAAGGGGGTGCTCCCAGCTGGGCTGGGCAGTGCCCCCAGCACACCCCACTGCCCTCCCTGGAAACAATTCCATGTGAAATGAGACCCCACTTCATGGCTTTGCTGCTGGAAAAAGTCAGGGGGGAAAGACGGGGATCCTGAGGGCTCCTGGTACCAGCGGGGCTTGGCCGAGGTGTCTGAGCCCACAAGCAGCCCGAGGCCACCCCCGATGTGACACTTACAGGCTCCTGCTGCGTTTCTTGCGGGAGGTCTCGTCTCCTTCATCACAGCTGCATTCAGGGTCTGCTCCACTCAGCTGCGGGAGAACAGAACAGTGTCTGTCATCACATCAGGACATGCCCACGGTGTCACTCTGTGTCACCAGAGCCAGCATCCCCACGGTGCCCACACCACAGCCCAGACCCACAGCACCCACAGGGCCCTTTCCTCATGATGGCAACGACATGGGACAAGCTTCTGCCACAGGAACCTCCCTCCCCTCACTCATCCTCTGCCACCTTCAGCCCGTGGTGTTCCTGGAGCATCCAAGGAGACCCCATGGCCGGTGGCCCCAGTAGCCTCCAGGTTCAAGATGCTGACAGGGCACCTCCTACAGGGAGAACATTCACATCCCCACTCCTGATGTTCCTACTCCTACTGCTGAGTGGGCACAGGGGTCCTGCCACCATCCAAAGAACCAGACTGGGCACCCAAAATCAATCAGGAGTTCCCAGCAGTCTCCCATGCAGGAGAAATCAGAACAGTTCACCTATAATTGAATCATATCATTGCAGTTTACAAGGCTGCTCTCTGAGCACTGCTCCAGGGCAGCCTGGACAGACCAAGGGGATCTGGGATGTGCCATGAGCTCAGGGCAGCACTAGCACAGCCTCTGTGCCACAAAGCCTGGCACCAGGCAGGGAGACCCGCGGGATGACCACAACTCGGGGCCTTCAGTATTCCATCCATTCCTGAACGCTGCAGACGCTCACAACCAGCCCTGCATCCCGCCCCGGATCCCGCCCCACACCCAGCCCCGCATCCCGCGCATCCCGCGCATCCAGCCCATCCCGCCCCTCCAGCCCATCCCGTGCTCCCGGGGCTGCCAGGCGCTTTCCAGGATCATCACCCCGCGGCCGGGCCGTGGGAACCCTGCGCTCAGCCCCGCAGCCCCGGGCCCGAGCTTTCGGACACTTCCTTCCATTCTGCGCCCGGGTTTCCGGAGTTTATCGGCCCCGAACAATGCGGCCCTCGCCGAGCACCTTCCCCGGGCCGCTCTGGCCCCGGCAGACGGGCTGGCCGGGGCTTCCTGCCATTGTCCGGAGAGGCTCCGTGCTCGGGGACAAAAGGCAGCAGCAGAGCTCTCCCGAGGAGTCCCAGCGCTCCCCACAATGCCCAATAAAACAACCAGCTCCAGCCTCACCGCGGGAAGGGGGGAACGGGGAGGCACACCGGGCACGATGGAGTTAAAAAGGGCTGTGGAATGAGCCCCTCTGAAACACTCGTAGATGGGAAAAGAACCAAGAACCTTGGCGGATGTGATGGCCCTGCAGCCGAGGCCGCTGGGTGCAGGTGCTGCCAGTGCTTGACAGCTTGGTGGGGGAATTCCATTTGGGAATTGTGCATTTTTGGAGCGTCCTGCTCCAAAAAGCTCAGAGGCTTCATTGAGCTATTCAAAGGCACAGACCGATAAAAATGTTTCCACAGTGTAGCCCAATCCCACAGTGGCTCAGCCCCGTGTCTGACTTCCCTGACTGCTGCACACCCTCCAGAGGCAGCTGGAGAGGCAGGGCAAGGGGAGCAGGACAATGGGAACACGGTGGGAATGGGGCAAGGTAACAGGGTAACAGGGCAATGGGGACGGGGGAATCAGAACACGGCAGTGGGAATGGGGTGGTGGCAGCAGGGCAGTGGGGACAGGTGAATGGGAACAGGGCAGTGGGAGCAGGGCAGTGGGAATGGGGCAGTGGGAGTAGGGTGATGTGAGCAGGGAACAAGGCAGTAGGAACAGGCAGGGGTGCCCAAGAGAACACAAGGGCAGGGATTTAGGCTCCAGGCAGCCTTAGCTCCAAGCTGCTGCAGGCTTGGAATTGGGAGCTGCAGGAGCTGCAGCCACCACATTGCCCACCCCACCGGCACAGGCTGCCCAATCGCTGCCCCAAAAATCCCAGTCTAATGTTCAGCAGAACAGTTGAACGCAGGAGGAGCTCCGTTCACCTCTGCGGGGAAACATCCACCCAGATGAGAGCAGGATGCGCAGGGGGCGACTCCCCGGGGCAGGGTGGAGCAGGATCCGGGGTGCCCTGCAGGAACACACAGCCCGCCCGGCTGCGGGGCTGCGGGGCTGCGGGGCTGCAGGCTCGGGGATGCGGGGCTGCGGGGCTGCGGGGCTGCGGGGCTGCGGGGCTGCAGGCTCGGGGCTGCGGGGATGCGGGGCTGCAGGCTCGGGGCTGCACACACAGCGGCACTGTAAGCTCTCCTTCAGCGCAGCTGGCGCTGACGCTGTCACCTCGCAGGTGCGACAGGCAGCGACCGTGTCCCTGACACAAGGGTGGCTCATCTTTGTTCGGGATAGGGCGGGTCTGAGCCCCCCATCTCCTCCCGCACACAGTCGTTGGCAACAGTCTCCAGGAGAGTTTGTACTCCCTCGTGGACAGCAGCCCCATCCCAGCAGTCTGTAACCCCGGGAGGGGCTCTCACAGCTGGTCAGAGACTCTGAGCCCAAAAATTCCTTCAGGAAACAGCATCAGCGTGACAGGAAGAGGGTTAACCCAGCACGGGTTTAACCCCAGCATGGGTTTAACCCCAGGGTCTGCAGCAACCCCTCCTGCCAAGGATCCCACTGCTCTGGAGCAGAATGTGGCTCTGCAAGGTCCCAAGCAGCAGGACATGGTCCTGAGCTGTGAAATGACGTCCTGAGCTGGGAACAGGACCCTGAGCAACGGAGCACCCAAAGCTCCAAGCAGCACCCAGAGCCCCCGAGCAGCACCCAGAGCTGAGGCAGGGATGGAGCTGGTGGGGGCTCCGTAGGGCAGAGCAGAGTGTGGGGCCAGGGGCCAATCTCAGCACCCTGCCAGTGTCACCTGGGGAGAATGGGAACAGCAGCACTTCCCATCTCTGGCACCTCGTTTCCTGACCCAGTGCAGCCAGGGCCAGCTCTGCTCTGGGGGCTCAGACCCCAGACCCCTGGGGTTGCACAGGTCAGTCCTGGGCAGAGCTCCCTCGGCACAGCCTCTGCTGCTCCTCCTGCATGCTGGGGTCACACACCACTGCTGACCACAGCTTTTTCATGAGCTGGACCCCCACAGTGGTCAAAGCCCTGCAGAAGGCCGGTGGGGGCAGAGGGTCACACTGCTCCTGGCACCCCCTGCGCACTGGGGACTGTCACCAGGGATTCTCCCCTCTGCTGCTGGCAGCAGTCCCGTGCAAGCACAGATCCCCAGGTGCACCTCTGCCCAGTCCCAGCAGACAGTGGCTGCCGATCACGGGACCCACAGGGTGTGGATGCAGCGCTGGCAGTGGCCACCCATGGTCCCAGCGCTGCTGGGGTGACACGTCCCGGTGCTAAGCACCTCCCAGAGCTGGCTGCCAGGGACAGGGACCCTCCCGACCGCTCATAAGGCAGATTTGCCATGGTCATATAGACAGGGGTCACCTGCCAGGACACCTCCACCCCAGGAGCTCTCCCACACCAGGGCCAGCCATGGCTCACGTACCTTCCTGTGGCCCGAGAAGAGCAGCGTGAGCTGGTGGATGGAGCCGCCGTTTTTGACGAGCTCTTTCTTGAGGGTTCTGGGGGAGGGCAGTGCCCAGTGCCCGGCGGTGTCCTGGCTGTCGGAGCAGTTGAGGGTGGTGTCGGAGGTGAAGCAGTGGCCCTTGGCCTCCTGCAGGAGGCTGCCCTCGCTGTGGGTGCGGCGCCGCAGGGAGCCCTGCACGCTCAGGGTGTAGCCGGACTGCCCGCCCGACGTCTCGATCATGCTGCTGCGCTTCAGCTCGTTCCTGTCCAGGTACTGCTCGTCGCTGTCCTCCTCGTCCTCGTCCTCCTCCTCCTCATCTTCCTCCTCATCCTCCTCCTCGTCCTCGCCGTCCGTGGCGCTGCCCGCCGTGCCCGCCGCGCTCTGGCTGAAGGTGCTGTCGAGCCGCAGCTCGGGGATGACAAAGGCTGGCAGGGAGCTGGGCTGCTCCTCTCTCTTTGCGGTGGCCACCGGCTGCTTTTCCACCAGGAGAGGAGCCTGGGTGGCCCCCAGAGCATCCCAGGGCTCGGCCAGAGCCGCTGCCTTGGCAGCTGGAGGGGCACCCACTGCTGCCTTCCCATCCTCCGAGTGCATCTGCCCCGGCTTTTCGGCGTCCGTCTCCAGCATCTGCCAGAGGAGAAGATAAAGAAGGATGAAAGCAGAAGCATCCCAGATCTCTCTGGCCACCTTCCTGGGGAGCCTTTCACCTCCTCACACCCCACCTACAAGGCTGGCACCCATTTGTACAACGCTAACAGTGCTCTGCTGGGGTGGGATGGCATTGTCCCCACGTCCCCAAGTGGTGCCAAGTCACCCATTACTTTCCCCAGCTGGCAGGAGTGGGTGCTGGCACTCAGCTGTCCCCTCAGCACCCGGCAGCCCCGGTGGGTTTTGAGGAATCCCAGGGATTTTGAGGAATCCCAGGGTGCCGGCTTGGCTCCAGCCGCAGAGGCAGAGCCGTAACAGCATCCTCACCCCGGGAGCTGCTGCCCTGCAGGGATTTCCCCCAGGGGCTGCAGAGAAACCCGGCACCTCGTCCAGCAGCTCTGGCCCCTCCTGCACCGCGTTATCAAATGCCAAAGGGATTCGCCGGGCTCTGCCCATCCCTGGAGTGCCCCAGCTCAGCCCGTGGCTCTGGGCAAGCCCTACAAAACCACAGTCACTCCCGCCAGCCCCTGTCGGGGTTTTAAGCCTTTGGGCTGGTTTTTCCAGGTTTCTTTGCAGCTGGGGAAGCCTGAGCAAGCTCTGTCCTTTCAAAGGGAAAAGCCCAAGGGGAAAACCTCCAAGGGTGTTTTTTGTGAGCAGGGGGAGCCTGCGATGAGCCCTCCCCTGCCAGAGCGGGGTCCTGTGTGATTTTTCTGTCTAAGCCAAAGAGGCAAAATCAACCCAGCAGGGAAAAACAGACCAAAGGAGAGAAAAATCCTCTCTTTAGGAAGAAATTCCCTCCTACGCAGATCCTGGGGCAGGGGCTATTCCACAGGTCCACCCCCAGCTAACAAGTCACCCAGAAAAGAAGTCACTGTATACCCAGCTGAGATCCAAACATTTCCACAAACCCAGTGACAACCAGAAAGCTGGAGTTAACAAAGACACCCCCTCTGTACGCATTTACTTCAGCTTCAAAAAGGGCAGCAGCCCCAGGAATCAACACATCCCACTGGGAGGAGGCACCCATGGAGTGGACAGAGGTTGTATCCCTGTGGAGGTCCCAGCCTGTGACAGCACTCCTGGGGAGCCACCCTGCTGCTGGACACCCCTCATCCCCCAGAGCACAGAGGTGATAACCACCCCTGGACATCCCCAGGCAGCTGTGTGCAGATGCTGGGCTGGAAAAGCTGCTGTCACCTCCCGGGGGTGCACAGAGGGGACAGCACAGACCCCACCCAGCAGCACCTGCCTGAGCTCAGGGGGCAAAGAGCTGGGCAGGTTTGCAGGAAGGTGCTGGAGCTCAGTGCCACAGCCAGCTGGGCAGGAGCCCCCAGTGTCCAGCTGTGCCTTGTCCTGGTTTATGACACCAAAGGGTCCCTGTGACACCTGCAGCACAGAGAGCACCAGCTCTGTCCCACCCAGCCTGGCTCACCCCAGCTGCAATTAAGCATCACCTGAACCCCCCCCCAGTGAGTCTGAAGACAAAAATTCAGAGACCACGATGTGCTTGGTCCCTTCATGGCACTGCCCCATCCATGAAACAGCTGGATTTGGTGTCAGACAAAGCAAATGCTCCTTTCACCCCATCCTTGGGGCTGTTCCACTTCCCCCACACAGTAATTCCTTGTAAGAAGAGAATGTTCCCAGCCCTGCCATGCCAGGCTGCCATTTGCACCAGCGTGTGCCTCACTGATGCTGCTGATGTTTTATTTGTCTTGCAATCACTGTCATCATTATCTCATGAAATAATTAGAGGAAAAACCCACACAGCCCTCAAGTCACTCCCCACAAAGCCCTCCCCCCAGCACTGCCTATCTGCCCAGTCCTGCTGCTCACATTGCTGGGTGCCTGCATCTGATAAGGTCCTAGAAGGAAATGAGCAGGCTCCTTTAAAATGAGAGACATTTGAGGATTAAATTAAATCCTTGCACTAATTCAATCAGAGCCTCTGCTGCTCTTCTCTGGCATGGAGGGGATGAGCAGCAGCCTCACCATGAGCGAGGGTTGGTTCCATCTCGGGCTGAGAGCATCAGCAGGGCTGTGAAACCCTGTCTGCACAGGGCTGAGCTCTGCTCAGCATCACCTGGGCTGGGGGGACACGGGGGAGGAGAGGCAGCAATGCCACCACTGCCAGCCCACAGACCTGCTCCTGTCTGGAGGCACCAGGGACTTCATCAGCACAAAGCCACCTGGCTGCCCAAAGCTGACTTGGGACCTCAGGGATGGGAATGTCACCAGGTTTCATAAACTCACAGGATGGTTTGGGTTGGAAGGGACCTAAAGTCCATCTTGTCCCACCCCCTTGCATGGGATCCACTGTCCCAGGCTGCTCCAAGCCCCAATGTCCAACCTGGCCTTGGGCACTGCCAGGGATCCAGGGGCAGCCACAGCTGCTCTGGGCACCCTGTGCCAGGGCCTGCCCACCCTGCCAGGGAACAATTCCTGCCCAATATCCCATCCAGCCCTGCCCTCTGGCAGTGGGAGCCATTCCCCTTGTCCTGTCACTGTAAGCCTGATCCAAATTCCCTCTCCAGCTCTCCTGGAGCCCCTTTAGGCCCTGGCAGGGGCTCTGAGCTCTCCCTGGAGCTTTTGAGCAGCTTTTCCAGTACCCAAGAGGGGCTGACACCTTCTCACCACTTCGTGTGGCCAAGGGGCTGCTGGAGGAGGCAGCAGTGGAGGCAGTGCTGGTGATGTCTGAGGGAGGTGCTGCCCTTCCACCTCACAGACTCACCCAAAACATTCCATGCTCCCACTGCAGCAGCCAACAGCTGGATTTCTCCATTCTCAATGCCTTGGTCTCATTGCTCTCAGCATCTGGTTGTCCCTGACCTCCATGTGCAGATTTCCCTTTTTTCAGCCTCTGCATCTTCCCCTGCACTCAACAAATTGGTTTTGCCATTCCCAGCACCTGGGTTTCCCTCTCTGCATCCGGACAGGTCGAGGGGCTGAGGGGATTTATTCCATCCTCCCTGAAGGATCTCACACTTCACTCTTGCAGTTTCTGTCTCAGACTGAGAGGCCAAGCAGCATTTCCTGAGAAAGGGAAGAGAGAGCAGAAGCAAGAGCTGCCTCCAAAGCCCAGGATGGCTCTCTGGGGTCATTTTAGGGAAGGAGGATGATAGGTCTGAAACCAGAGCAACAGCAAGAGAGTTCCTGAGAATGATCTCCTCACTGAACAAATATCAACACACTCAAAAATAAACCAGCACTGTCCTGCCTGCTCCAACATCCTCAAACCTTGCACCTGTTACCCATTCCCTGGGTTCTCTTTGCCTTCAAGGATCACTCACTATCTCAAAAATCAAGTTTTTAAAGTTTTATTGAAATCAAGACAGGGCAGAAGAACTGCAAACCCTCTGCTCCTTGGTCTGTACTTCGAGCAGGTTTTTCTCAGTTGCTGCTCACATCCAGGACTGTTCCAGTTCAACAGCAGAGAAAATTTCAACGAGCATCAGCACAACCTCGACTTCTCCAGCATTTCTTTAAATAATGTGGCCTTGCTGGTGGCCCACAGCTGGGACTTCGAGGTGGGAAATCCCCAGCCAGGGAGACAGCACAGCTGAGAGCTGAAGCCTGCCCTGCCCTTGCCCTGGTGCTGCCAGCTCTCCTGCTGCCAGAAGTGCTGGCAGGTGTGGCATTCCCTGGAATTCCCCAGCAAGGGAAGGTCAGGGATTTTTTTTTAAGATCTCAGCTTCTCATTTCAAATCCTCTGCTCCTCTCAGTCATGGAGTCACTGTGGCTCAAGGAATGCCTCGCACAAAGACATTTAATTGAGCCTTTCCTGGCTCCTGATGGGGATGCTCAGGTTTTCTTTCTTTTGTGGTGATGCTGAGGAAGAGGAGGCAAAACACAGCTCAGAGAGCTGCTCTGCACCCAAGGGCCTCCTCAGCCAAAGCCAGGGATTGGGAAAAGCAGGGGAGTCCCTGGCTGTTGGACATCGATGTGAGCAGGAGAGCAAGGGATGTGCTGCTCCAGCTGTGCTCTCACCCAGGAGTGAACAGAGCTGCTGGGATACCACAGGAAGAGCCAATCTTGTGGCTGTCCCCAACCATGGCAGCTCCATCCTCCGTGTGTCCCACGGGGAACCTCTCTGGCTCCTGCTGCCCTTCAAAGGACAGAGATGCCTCCCCAAAAGCATTTGACTCCATGGGAATGAAACCAGCTCTCTCACCAGGGTTCTTTTGGGAGAGATGCAGACAGTAGTGGGTTCCCTATGCTGGAGGAACATCCCACCCCACATCAGCTGGGAAAAGAGCACCTGCATCATCCAGGGAAACAGCAACCTCTCCAAAGTAGATCTTTCCTAAAGCAGAAGGAAAATATTTTATAATTTCGGTTTTTAGCATGGGGCAAACTGTTCCCAGATCCACCAGATCAGAAACTTCTCACTGTGAAACACTGTTGAGCACCTCAGGATTTAAAAAGTGACAACTGAGAACCAAGGAAGCTCATGACTACAAGGAACAGCATCTATTGCACAGCATGGGGCTGAGGAGAAGAAAGCAAAGCCAGAAATGCAAAGCACAACTACCAAAACTTGAGAAAATCTTCATGGGAGTCGTTGTGAAAGTGCTCACAAGGAGCATCCCCTGAGCTCTGCTCCTCACCCTCTGCGAGGCCGGCCAGAGCCCAGGGCTCGTCGCACAGCCGGGTTTTCTACCCTCTCTGTGCTTCATTACTGCACAATGAATAATTGATCCCGAGCAATTAGTGTAACAGCCAAAGCAGCGCGGGTGTATCAGCCCGAACAGCAGCGCCAGCAGTGCCTGGGGCAGGGCAGTGAGGGTGGAGGTACAGACTGGGGGAATAATGTTTGTACCGCCCTCAAAACCTGGCCGTGGGCTGCCTCAGCCCTGGCAGGAGGAGCCCTCCCGGCGGGAGGAAGCACGGGAGGATCCCATGGTCGGTCCCTGCACAAATCCCATTCCCCATCCCCGCGAGTCGCACAGGGCTCTGCCCAGCCCCAGCCCTGCGCCGCT